TGCTGGATGCCGCGTGGTTGGAAATGCAGCTCGCAATGACTTGAGACCCTCACCCACGCCTGGGGACCCCCACCCAGCCTCTTCTAGTGCTGCTTCAGCAGAAGATGAAAGAAAAAGTGACTGTCCCCACCCCGGACCAAGCACACGACAGGCTTTCACCATCTAAAGGCTTAAAGCAGCCATAACTTCAGCCTCTCTCAAACTGATTGCCTCCGCACGTCCAAGCACCCGCCACACCCCAAAACGGGGATTTTTTGGGGTCACTTTCAAAGATCCCAGACACGGATGCGAATTTTATGGCTCGTCTTCTCCCTTCGAGACAAAGGAGCGCAGGAAGCGGCTCAGCACCCCGTCCTGGAGCGCAGCGCCATGTCCCCCCTCCGATAACACCCTGCACCCAGGGAGGAGGGCTCCTGCCCCACCAATGCACCCACGGGTAGGTGCATCCGCATTTTCAAGCAGCTCGGGCGCAGTCAGATGGGGGTCACCATTTCTTCACAGCCTGCATGGTACAACCCCGCAGGGCACAGCGGGACCAACCCAAGTCACCCTCGACTCAGGAAGGTGGGTTCAGATAAACGCACCCAACTAGGAAAGACCTGAACCAGCCCAGGGCAACCTGCTCCCTCCTCTTTCTCTAAGGGACAGGGACCCTTAAAGCTCCGTCCAGCCTTTCCCACGACGTTCAGGCTGTGCAGGCTGTTTTCTCGCCCTGCTCTCCCCGAGCAGAGACAGCTGCAGCAAAGGCAGCCCCTGCTGCTCCAGCGTAATGGGCTCCGGCTGTCCGTACCCCACCTGAAACCACACACAGCCTTTGTTTCGGCTCTGAGAGGGAACAGACACTTCCAGAACCCCCCTGAAAGAAAGGGGAAAAAAAAAAAAGTCTCCGTGACTCTTCCCTGACCAGGCTTTCACCTTAGTTCCAGCGTTTTCCAGGCTGCAGACACTATCTCATTCCCCCCCTGCCCCCTCCCAGCCCCGGCAATTACTGCTTAAGCTGTTAAAACAAGCGTGGCCAGTCTGGTACGAAGTGGAAAATCTGATCCTAGGGAAGCGAGCAGGCAGGGGAAAAGGGAGGTCAAGGGGAGGTGGGATGGGAGCGAGAGAGAAAAGGATCAGGCAAGGAGAAGTCTCCCTCCACCCGAGGAGAAAACCCCCTTCCTGGGGGCTCCCGAGCCAATGCCTCGGGACGCCAGCCCCAGTGACAGCCCAACGGCGACACCGGTGCCCTGACCTCCCTGCGGCATCTTTTCCATGCCAAAGTCACATTTATCCCAGGTGACTTTCAGCTTGTTCCAGCCTGGGTAGGATGGGTGAATATTGCTGCAGCACTCAGCCCTCTCCGCTCCCCGAGATCGCCCAGACCCAAAGAGGCAATTTAAGGCTTCGACTGTACTTGCAAAACCCGTCCCCGCGTGCCAGGGGCTGTGCGCAACCCCGTGCAAGCTGACGGGGAGCCTGGCTTCCTACAGCCACCTACGGTATTAAAGGTGCTGCAGGCTACTCTGTGTTTTCTTAGAGCTCCGCTACCCAAAAAATCAGCAATTCTGCGAGAAGCAAGCCTGTAATAAGAACAGTTTTAGCCTCTGCATTTGTAGAGAAGGGCAAGAAGAACCCCAGAGCCAGGAATTGTGACTTTAAGACCCCCCCGAAAATGCAATCTGAGGTTATCGTGAGTTATTTTGAGGCTGATCAGGAAGCGGCAATACGCACCTCCATCACAAGCAGTCCCAAATCCCCAGTTTTCGGCAAAACTACCACCCTTTCCCTTCAACCTCTTCCCAGCCCACACGAAAATTGATACAACTTCTCCACCTTTCAATGGGTAGTTCAAAACAAAAAAAAAGACTTTAATTTATACAAAACAAAACCATGTATAATCAGTTGAACAACATTGACTGTACAAAGGAATAAAAAAATAAAAGGATAGTCCAAAAAAACAACTCAGGAATGGTACAAGTGTTGGAGAGCAGCTACAGACTAGTGTTGACATCAGATGCAAGAATCTTTTCCTTTTAAATTAAAAAAAGAAAAAAAAGTTTTTTGCTGAGCAAACGCTCCAGGTAAATCTTTCATCCTCACTCCGGACA